CCTGAGGCAGGTGAGAGCATCCTAGAGACAGGATTCAGCTAAACCAGTGGTTCTCAACCTTCTGACCCTTTAAATACAGTTCCTCATGTTGTGACCCAACCATAAAATTATTTTCGTTGCTACTTCATAACTGTAATGTTGCTACTGTTATGAATCGTAATGTAAATATCTGATATGCAGGATGGTCTTAGGCGACCCCTATGAAAGGGTCGTTTGACCACCAAAGGGGTCGTGACCCACAGGTTGAGAACCGCTGAGCTAAACCGTCTCATCAGGCCAGGGGAGCAAAAAACGTTCCAGTACCAGGAATCCTAAGCCGAGGGTGCCATCCCAAATGTGACGTGCTGGAATCTCATGCCTTTTATATTGGGAGGGGAGGGGAGAGGATAACCTATTGAATACCTGTAGCCAACCCACACATTTTGACCATATCCATTATGCTAATTAACAATTTGAGTGCTAGTCAGGGCTAGAGACGGTGAGAAGCTTCTTGAGTATGGCTTCTGATTGACTCTCTCAGATGATATCTTTTTGTTGTTGTTATTAATCCTCACCCGAGGATATTATTTCCATTGATTTTTAGAGAAAGTGGAAGGAAAGGGTAGAGATTGAGAGAGACACATCGATTGGTTGCCTCCCTCATATGCCCTGACCAGGTTCTGAATCGAGCCTACGACCGAGGTATGTGCTCTTGATCAGAATTGAACCTTCGGCCCTTCAGTCTGCAGGCTGATGCTCTAACCACTGAGCAACTGGCCAGGGCTCAGACGATGCACTTTCCACCTAAAAGGAGTTTTGTGGTCACCATATGAATAGCCACCATCTGTGGGGTGCTTATACCTTCTTTCACGTGGCAGCTGACTTAATCCTCACACCTGTTAGGACTCTTTATAGATGAGGAAACTACCACAGAGCTTAAATGATTTGTCCAGGGCACACAAGCATCAAACAGCAGCAACTATCCCCAGAATGGGGCCCTAACCACCACACATCCTGCCTCCCAACACGAGACAGGAGACAGCCATGTGCAGGAATGTTCCCAACACGTGTGTCCACAGGGAACTTGGGGAAGAATCGCATTTCAGGCTGCAGGGGAGGGAACAGTTTTCAGCAACCTTCTCCGGGTTCCTAGCTGGTCTGACAAAACCACAAAGGCGAGTTCACAAGAGAGAAAAGCATATACATGGTATTGAATGTTTATATGTCCATGGGAGGTTTCACAGGAGAATGAAGACCGAAGAAGTGACCAGCACAGGAAGCTCTTATACCAGCCGTGGGCAAACTCCGGCCCGCAGGCCGGATCCGGCCTGTTTGAAATGAATAAAACTATTGAAAAAAAAGACCGTACCCTTTTATGTAATGATGTTTACTTTGAATTTATATTAGTTCACACAAACACTCCATCCATGCTTTTGTTCCGGCCCTCCAGTCCAGTTTAAGAACCCATTGTGGCCCTCGAGTCAAAAAGTTTGCCCACCCCTGTCTTATACCCTATAGACCAGCGGTTCTCAACCTGTGGGTCACGACCCCTTTGGCGGTGGAACGACCCTTTCACAGGGGTCGCCTAAGACCATCCTGAATATCAGATATTTACATTATCATTCATAACAGTAGCAACATTACAGTTATGAAGTAGCAACGAAAATAATTTTATGGTTAGGTCACAACATGAGGAACTGTATTTAAAGGGCCAGAAGGTTGAGAACCACTCCTGTAGACATAGAAACAGTACACTTGGGAAGAATTGTCGAGACAGAGGTCTGGGCTGGGTAGTGAATGGTGAAGAAGTTAAGTGGGGAGATAAGGTCAGTTTAACTGGGTTTGTCTGTACACGTTTCGTGGCCCCAAATTCCTCATCTCTGCTGGTGAGTGTCTTCCTTCCTCCTGCTACATGGAGGGACCTTCACCTGGGGGTTCTGACCTGTTTCAGGGGAGGTGGGAAGGGGGAGGAGGTCAGAGTGACCTTCCTGCTTCTGCCGTTTTTTCTGTGGGATTTCTTATTCCTTCAGCTTAAGATATGTAATATGCCAATATGTCACATTTTGGGGTAGTGTGTCCTGAACCCCATCTAGACCTCAGACAAGCGGCCAAAAGACACACTCAAGCTGGAAAGTTCGATAAGCGGCAGGTGCTGGGCTCTCTCCACGCGCTCACAGACCAACTCTTCTTTTCCAGGACTCTGAGGACCAGCTGCTGGAGGGCAGTGACCCCCTGGGGGCGCTGTGAGGGCCAGACCCACTGCAGCCAGCGAGCCCCACAGCCACCTGGGCCCCCAGCCTCCTCACGAAGGCTGCAAACTGTGAATCCTTGGCCCCAGAGGTCCTTGAACATGTGGAATTATGTCTGAAGCACCCAAGTCGTACCTCATCTCCTTGGTTCATCTGGGGGGTTCTTTTGTTTCTGTGGGTGAGGAATGATGTGAACTCTACCCATCAACTCAGGGGACTTCCCCCACCTCTGACCTTTGGCTGTCCTTCCTGTGTGTCACCTTTAGTCCTTAGATGGCACTTACTACATCCTACCCAACTCGACAGTAACTGTGACCTCCTCTTATTTTCCTACTAGATTGTAAGCTCCCACAGGCAGAGACTCGCCTCGTTCGTCTTGTATCTGAGCACTTAGCACAGTGTCTGGAACATGAAAGGGGCTCAATAAATGTTTATGGAACAGAAATAAAGTCAGTGGAACAATCTAGTGTTCTGAGAACCAAAAATACTGTTCGCCACAGAAGGGGTCAAGCTTTGAAGGTAAAATCCACTTATTAGACCTAACCAGGGCCTTTTCAGTAGCCAACATCTGCCTAGAATTATTTCTCAATTCTGTTTTGTGTGTGTGTATATGTTAAGAAGACATGATAACCACAATGAGATATCACTTCCCAATCACTAGGATGGCTATACCCCAAGAGACTGATAATAGCAAGTGCTGGCGAGGATGTGGAGAGATTGGAACCCTCATACATTGCTGCTGGGATTGCAAAAGCATGCAGCCACGGTGGACAAGTTTGGCAGATCCTTAAAAAGTTCAACACCGAGTTACCATAAGAACCAGAAACTTCACCCCAGGCATATACTATACCAAGAGAGATGAAAACATGTCCACACAAAAACGTACGTGTGCATGTTCACAGAGCATTATTCATAATAGCCCAAAAATAGAAGCAACCCAAATGCCCATCAAACTGTGGTATCTCCATATAATGACATGTCATTCCACCCTACAAGGGGCCTACGCACTGAAGCAGGCAACAGCACGGATGGACCCTAGACACATGCTGAGTGAAAGAAGGCAGACGCAAAGGGCCACAGAGTGTAAGATGCCTCAGGGAGGGAACTGTCTGTGGGAGAAAAGAATTCCAGGTGGGTTTGCCTGCTGCCCACCTACAGCTAAGTTCACACCAATTTTTGCTCTGAAAACAAGCACGCGTGCTTTGCTGGGCGTGATGGGATGTGGGTGGTGAGAAATGAACCCTAAATCTCTCACCCTCCCCTCTCACAAGGATATTCTTATTTGGTTATATTAGAACTAGGAGCCCAGTGCACGAATGCATGCACCTTGAAAGGAACTGTGGGCCACGAGGCTGCGATGGGCACAGGGGCAGGTCTCGGCCCATCCTCCACACCCCAGCCCAGCCCCTCCCGCCACGGCCCTGGTCCCTTCTCTGCCTGCAGCCCCGCTCCCCCTGCTGCTGCAGCTCCCATGCAATGACAGTGCCGACCCCACTCACACCCACTGATGGCGCAGAGCGATTAGGGCCGGTGCCAGTAGCGGGCGCGAGCAGGACTGGTGCTGTCAGCAGGTGCAAGCAGCAGCTCTGGCGCCAGCAGTGGATGCGAGTGGCAGCTTTGACACCGGCACTGGGTGTGAGTGGGTCTGTCGCCAGCAGTGGGTGCGAGAGGCAGCTGTAGGCCCGATCGCCCCTCAGGATCAGGGGGAGGTGAAGCCCTGAGGGGCAATCAGGGCTGGTAGCACCCGCTGATGCTACCAGCCACTAACTTAAGCACACAAAAACCGACGACTTGCAATAAACTGGATGATACAATTCTTTTTATTTGGCAATAAATTCAGTATCTGGTAACATAAAATCAACATTCAGAATAAATAGCAAATACACATTCAGAATAAATAGTAGGTGAACCTAGTTTGCATTTACTGTGCCTGCTATCGTACAGGCACAATTAGTCATTCTACTACATGATTAGAAAACAGTTTCCGACGTCAGGTGCAAGCCACAGAGCTGGGAAAGTGCAGAGGGCTGCTGCGGGCGGGCTCCCCGGAAGCAGACGGAGATTCACGTGCAGGGAGTTTACAGGGTGTGCTCTGGGGTCCACGCCTGGGGAGGGGAGGGAGGTGAAGGAAGGGAGCTGCTCAGAGGGGTGTGACCTCGCCCATCTGAGACAGGGCTTCTCAGCAGGGCCGACAGCTGCTGAACACCCAGGGGTGGGGGGACTCGGTCCTGAAGGGTTACGTGTGAAGCCATGCCATCCCCCAAGACGAGCACAGTCACAAAGCACTACGAGAAGAGGTACACTGAACTAGTGCTCGTGCCCGACCGGCAGCTCAGTTACACACCACGAGGCCGAGTGCTGGGAACACGGCATGTCACCACTGGCCACAGAAGTAAATATGCCCTCGCCAGCTCCTAGGGGAACGGGGCGCACGTCCCTGCTGCCTGTTCCACTGCCGGGCTGTTCGTCTGCACGCTTTCTGAGTTAGAGCAGGGCTTGGGAACTACGGCCAAGGCAGCCTGCAGCTGATTTTATAAACCACGTTGTAATAGGACAGAGCTGTGTCCATTCCTGGAGTAATGGCAACAGAAAATGGCCCGCAAAGCTGACCCCGCATTAACGAATCTTCACTCCCTTTCCTTCCCTTTACCCACTAGGGCAGTGGTTCTCAACCTTGGCTGCACATTAGAATCACCTGCGAATCTTTTTAAAATCCTGATTCCTGGGCCTCATCCTCCGGAAATTCCGTTTCTTTGTTACTAATGTTGTGGCCCCACCCCATAACAAAGAAACGGAATTTCCGGAGGATGAGGCCCAGGAATCAGGATTTTAAAAAGATTCCCAGGTGATTCTAATGTGCAGCCAAGGTTGAGAACCACTGTACTAGGGTGTTAGAGGTTAGCTGGCCTTGGAGCTAGGCTCCCAAATGCTAAGGAAAATAAAAGAGAAAAGAAGGAAATCGGTACACAGGGAAACTGATAAGAGGGCAAAACACAGGCTCCCCAGTAGGTGAATAGGGCAATCAAGGGCCGCTGCCTCTGGCCACAGTCTCAGAGCATTCTAGACGAGGGCCCCCCAGTGGGTCTTTGGCAGCAAATGAGCACTGGGCACAGTGGAGCTCAATGCGATACTGAGCACAGCTCTCGACTGTCAAGGGCCTTTGGGGAGGAAGAGAGAGGAAAAGCCATTTAGTTCATCCAAAGCTAAATTAGTAGGAGGAAAGATTACTTTCCATTTCTCCTCCGCAATAACGAAGAGGGCCGATGCAGTCAAAGCAACTAGTAATTTACTCAGAGACAGCCCAAGTCAGTAACAGGTGGTTTATGTTCCGCGGCACTAATGGCCACAGCAGGAGATGAAGCTGAAGAGCATGAGAGAGAGAGAGAGAGAGAGAGAGAGAGAGAGAGAGAGAGAGAGAGAGAGAGAGAGACTATGTTAGGAGGAAAGTGGGAGCTCTGAGCCAAACTCCTAAAATACTTTAAAAGCTAGGTTTCCTTATAGAAGCAACTCTGGAAAAGCAACTGTGCAGGTCCCCGCCAGGGCGACCTGCTGCGGGTTCCATGCGCCCGCGTTCCGCTGGCATGGGCTGCCCCTGGACTATGACTTTTGTGCACATCATTCTTAGAAAATCAGTCTAACCCATGCTGCACGTGAGAATATTGTTTAAAGGTACAAGCTAATTTTATTGTTTGCTTTCCAAATTGCTACTTTTGAAGGGTGGAAAGCAGACTCACTTCCCTTGGACCAACAGGCTTTCACCAGTGTGAGCCCCAGAGAACAAAATGGAAAGGACAGAATGCCCCGTGCAGTGTGCCCAGGCCCAGCTGCGTCATGACAACGGCTGAGCGCAGACCAGGAGGCTGCCCCGGTCCTTCACGTGGCGACGGCTGCCCTACCCCTGCTGCTGGCCTGGGAGCGCACGGGTCTGCCAGGCACATGCTCGGGGGCCCTGCTGAGACAAATGCCAGGCCTCCGCCACGTGGCAGATCTCAGCACGGCCATGTTTGATGCCCCACAGACCGAAACCTTAATTGGTAATAAATTGTGACACTCATAATTCATACCCAGAAAATGTGTGTCTCCCCTGAGGCTTGGCTCACCCAACCTACACATCCACGAAAGCAGGATTTAAAACAAGTCTACTTCATTCTTGAGTAAACAAACACCCTGTGACTGGCACTAGGAGACATCCAATGAACACCTGATTGGATAAACACTAAGAGATTTTTAAAAACAGTAATAACTACTTCCTCACGCGGCTTCCCCGAAGTGAAGCCGAAAGCACCAGCGTGCCCTTCGAGGCCCCCACACGAGCAGCTCCGGGCCTCCACCTGCACCCCCAAATGCCAGCACCTCTGATGCTAACAGCACCTGGGAGCTAACAAACAGTAAACAAAAGGCCTACCCCACCCCCAAAAGAAACGGACCACTGTGTTTATGATAAAATTTAACCAGAAAAAAGGGGCCGTAACTGACGGGCCTCCTGGTTCTACAGGGTCACCATCACTATCAAAAATACACGGAAATGCCCAGGAAAATCGCACTGTCACAAGCAGCATTGCCAAGCATACTCGAGCTCCTTCACTCCCTGCACTCTGGCAGGGAGCTGTGGCATGCCAAGCCACTCACTGCCGTAAAAATGCTCAGTTAGCAACACTCTCCGCAAGCCCCTCCCTGCACCTGCCAGGCATCAGGTTTAAAACGTATGTCACGTGCATTGTCCTTAGAAAGACGTGAGAAATACTCAGTTACCTAAGTCATTTCCAACCCCCTTTCTCTTAGTTTCAATGCCCTTTACGCTCTCCCACCTTAAATACAGGCACCTAAAGAACCCCCCCCAAGTCCCACACACACACATACACACACACACACACACACACACACGCACACACGCACACGCGTGCAGCAGGAAAGGGAGAGAGCTAAAGGGAGCAGAGGGTGGAGCCAGCCAGGCGGTGAGGCTACTGCTCCCACTTCCCCGATAATCCGGGGGGAGGCAGCCTGTCTGTTGCCTCCAGGAAGGGATGGCTTCTGATAATGCCTACATTTTAGCCACACAACCCAGGGAGGGGAACGGCATTTCACTGCAAGGACTTTGTTTTTTTTTGTTTTGTTTTTCTGTCCTCCAATGAGCACATCAAACCAACAGTCGGGTGGCATTTTCAGGGGACCCACCCCCAAGCATTGGCTCTGAGCGCTTGTTGCTCACAGCCTTATCCCACAGGCTGTTCTGCCAGCTGGACATGTGACCAGGCGCCCTCTCTCCTTCTCTGGGGAAAGGAGCGAGCCCCCCCATCACCTGTGGCGCCCGTCCTTCCCCAGGATGGGGTGGGGCACAGGAAGCGAGACTGAGGACCATCCAGGGCGAAGGACTTGGACCTTCCCTTGCTCTTTCTCTTTTCTTCCCACTGATGCACTGGAACGCCAAAGCCCTGGGACCAAACGGCTGGGGGGTCCCGCTGTTTGGGGGTCATCTCCGCCGCTTACTGCATGTTATGCTGCTACAGAGCTCACTGCACCGTCCGCTTGCTGGGAGCAGTGTCGCTGCACACCACGGCGCCCTTCGTTCCCGATGCACCGTGAATGCTCCCTGTTTTCCATGGAGGAGGCAGGAGTTTCTGCTGCTGGAATACGGAGGTGGCATCAGGAAGTGGCATCAGGAAGTCTTCCCAGGCCCAGGAAAGCCGACACCAGTAGCAGCACCTCGGTCAACAAGAGGACTGATCAGTTCCCCATGAAGCCTGCCACTCAGCCCGAGGAGAGCAGGAAGGCGGGACCGGTACGCGCTGGCTTCCATCTCAACCACCTGGGGAGTATCCTCCAGAAGGTCCGAAATAAATATCAAGAGGCGATTCTGTGTCTTTTCCAAAAGCAACACTCCTATCCACACAAGGCCAGCCCCGTGGTGTCCCCCGGGTCGGGGCCGGGGCAGTTTCTGGCCTTGTCCACAGGAGGGCACGGCTACTTGGCCTGGGCCGCCTGCAGGAGGGGCAGCCTGCAGGTGGGGGGCCCGTCCGCCCAGGCGGGAAGCTCGTGCTGCAGCGGAGTCCTCCTGGGGTAGAACGTGTGGCTGACGTCGTAGTTCAGCAGGCAGCTCAGGGACGCCATGTAGATGTCGGCAAACCGCGACAGACGCCTCAGGAAGTAGGTGGGGTTCTGGTCTGTGCGGAACAAGCTTCCAAAGTGGGCGTTGAAGAAACTTTTGTTCATTTCTCTGAAGGAGCAAGAAAAGAGGGGAGCGGCGGACAATGATTCAGATAAGTTTCAAGTTATTGAAACCAAAACAGTTTCATAGGGCTCATCTGGGAGGAAAACCGTCTGTCCACCCATCCACCCAAATGATGATCACACCTCCCCCTGGGACCCCCCCGGGAGTACTGTTTGAGGCTCCAGTGTTCATGTGTCTGCCCCTCCACACCTACACACCACACTCTCAGACAGAAGGAGAAAAGCAGGAACTGCTTCTAAAACTACACAGAGAGATGTGAATGTTCCAGTCTCCAAAACTCCCTCATCTACAGAATGGGATCAAGACCCCCCCTTTTTACAAGTTTACAGCAAAAACTGAGTAAGGTAAGAAAAATAGCTCTATCTGGTTTGGCTCAGTGGATAGTGCAGCCGTGGGCAAACTACGGCCCGCGGGCCGGATTCGGCCCGTTTGAAATAAATAAAACTAAAAAAAAAAAAGACCGTACCCTTTTATGCAATGATGTTTACTTTGAATTTATATTATTTCACACAAACACTCCATCCATGCTTTTGTTCCGGCCCTCCGGTCCAGTTTAAGAACCCATTGTGGCCCTCGACTCAAAAAGTTTGCCCACCCCTGGGACAGAGCGTCAGCCTGTGGACCGAAGGGTCCCGGGTTCGATCCCAGTCAAGGACACATACCTTGGTTACAGGCTTCTCCCAGCCCAGGCCCTGGTCAGGGCTCGTGCAGGAGGCAACCAATCAATGTGTTTCTCTCACATCGATGTTTCTCTCTGTCTTTCCCTCTCTCTTCCACTCTCCCTTAAAAAAAAAAAAATCAATGGAAAAATGTCCTCGGGTGAGGATTGAAAAAGAAAAGCGTACTGTAAACTCAAGTACTTTTGATTCTTGGGAAATGAAGAATTTTTGTGTAGTGATGCAAGTCAGTCTCCACCATCCCTTGCTCAGCTCCAAACACCTCACTGCCTCCTGGAAGCCTAGCCCCGTGGTCGGCAAACTGCAGCTCGCGAGCCACATGCGGCTCTTTGGCCCCTTGAGTGTGGCTCTTCCTAAGCCTTAGGAGGACCCTAATTAAGTTAATAACAATGTACCTACCTATATAGTTTAAGTTTAAAAAATTTGGCTCTCGGGAGAAACTAAGATGGCGGCATAGATAAACACCGGGAAATTGCTGCTTCCCACAACAATCGATAAATGCATCAAGAACACAAGGTGGACACCATCCAGAACTACAGGAGGGCTGGCTGAGTGTAAATTCTACAACTAGAAGGAAAGAAAAGCACACTGCGAGCGGGAGGAGCTGCGGAGGTGGCGTGCAGACGTACGGGGGCTCGCGCGCGCGGAAAGGGCCTGGCACCTGAGGACAAGGCTGTCTTTTTGAATCCGGAGGGAGACACAAGCTCCCGACGGCTCTGAAATCCGGTTCCGGGAAGTCTCTGGGGACCCAGGACTCACACGGGGAGAAACTGGACTGTCTGGCAGCGGACGAGCTTGAGAGCGGCTTTCCCTCAGAGGTGCTTGCAGCCATTGCCGGGACACTGGGACTCGCGACTCCTTAGGGCGGGGCTGAGGCTCCGCCATAGCTGCTTTCTCCGCCCTTTGATTTCTTGAGACCCCGCCCCACCCAGGCTTCAGCAGAGGCTTTTGCATATGAATGCCCCGGCCATTTGCAACCTGTAATTACCTAACCGCAGCCGGGCCAGATAGACCCAGAGCTTCCAAGAGAAGGCCCAAGGCCCCACAGCGGCTTGCATTGCTACACAGCTGAGCATCATCAGGGCACTTTCAAACTCCAAAAAAAAGGAAGGGGAATCTGCAGTTCTCTTCGTAGTTCCTGCTGTGTAACCTCAGGCAGAGGCTAAATTAGCACCTCCTTAGATCCAAGAGCCACTGTACCCAGTGGTCAGAGGGGAACCTTCCAGATCACAACTCCTCAGATCCATAAGGGACACACTCTGGGTGCAGTCTCAGTGAGCACCAAAGCCCCACTGAAGCAAGTCTTGCCCCAGAAGGGTGTCTCCAGCACAGAAGTTCTCCCACTGCAGACACAGCTGATTCTCGCTGCCAATTGCCCTGGAGGTCAATTCCTCCCAGTGATCCTACAACAACCAAGGCATAGCTACAACAAGACTGTGCACAAAGCCCACGAGGGGGTGCACCAAGAGTGTCCACCTCAGGTAACTGGGGAGGCTGAGCCACTGGGCCCTACAGGACACCTAGCACACAAAGCCACTCTATCAACACAGGGAAGCAGCCAAAATGCGGAGACAAAGAAACAGGTCACAAATGGCAGAAAGGGAGGAAAGCAAACGACTGGATATAGAGTTCAAGGCCACGTTTATAAGGTTTTTCAAGAATTTTATGGAAACTGCCGATAAATTTAATGAGTCCCTCAATAAGTATAGTGAGACCATGGAGGACATGAAAAAGGACCAACTAGAAATTAAGCATACACTGACTGAAATAAAGAATAATCTACGGAGATCCAACAGCAGACAAGAGGATCCCAAAAATCAAGTCAAAGATTTGAAATACAAAGAAACAAAAAATACCCAACTGAAAAAGAAAAAAGAAAAGAGATTCCAAAAATATGAAGATAGTGTAAGGAGCCTCTGGGACAATTTCAAGCGTACCAACATCAGAATTATAGGGGTACCAGAAGAAGAGAGAGGGCAAGATATTGAAAACCTTTTTGAAGAAATAATGACAGAAAACTTCCCCCACCTGGTGAAAGAAATAGACTTCCAAGTCCAGGAAGCGCAGAGAACCCCAAACAAAAGGAATCCAAAGAGGACCACACCAAGACACATCATAATTAAAATGCCAAGAGCAAAAGACAAAGAGAGAATCTTAAAAGCAGCAAGAGAAAGACAGTCAGTTACCTACAAGGGAGTACCCATACAACTGTCAGCTGATTTCTCAACAGAAACCATGCAGGCCAGAAGGGAGTGGCAAGAAATATTCAAAGTGATGAATAGCATGAACCTGCAACCAAGATTACTTTATCCAGCAAAGCTATCATTCAGAATAGAAGGTCAGAGAAAGAGCTTCACGGATAAGAAAAAGCTAAAGGAGTTCATCACCACCAAACCAGCATTATATGAAATGCTGAAAGGTATTCTTTAAGAAGAGGAAGAAGAAAAAGGAACTCTTACCATTTGCCACAGCATGGATGGAACTGGAGAGCGGATAAATACCACATGATCTCACTCATTTGTGGAATATAATGAACAACATAAACTGATGAACAAGGACTGATCCAGAGACGGAGAGGCATTGATTGGACTGTGGGGCTTTGGAGGGAGGGTAGGGGAGGGTGGGGGTAAGGGGGAAAGATCAACCAAAGGACTTACATGCAGGCATATAGGCCTAACCAATGGACACGGACAACGGGGGGGGGGGGGGGGGTAGAGGGTAACGTGGGGACAAGGACACATATGTAATATCTTAATCAATAAAAATATATTTTAAAAAAAAAATTTGGCTCTCAAAAGAAATTTCAATAGTTGTACTGTTGATATTTGGCTCTGTTGACTAATGAGTTTGCTGACCACTGGCTAGGTGATAAGCATTTTGCAAGGTTGTTCGCCCCACCCCAGGCTCTAAGCCCCTGCAGGTGGACACATGTGCATGTGTGTGTAAGTCAACACCCATCACACGTCCGCAGAATAAGCACACTATCTGATGGCTGGGACCCCTGGACACAGAATATTCCAGCAAAATGGCTAAATACCATTCGACTGTTAATCAGTTGCAGAAACAGCAAAAATAATAATAATCATTTACACAACGGTGTGATAAAGGCCACTGGCTGGTCATAGCGGTCTGTCCTCAAATGGTGACAGAGGTTGATAACCAAAAAGCAGAAAATTAAAAGAACTCAACTAGGTCTATGGGTGGAGTGACATAAATATTTAAACGTTTACTTAAAATAATCTCAATGTGCCCTAGCCAGTTTGGCTCAGTGGAAAGAGCGTCGGCCTGCAGACTGAAGGGTCCCAGGCTCGATTCCCATCAAGGGCATATGCCTGGTTGCAGGCTCCAGGAGGGGGGCGTGCAGAGGGCAGCTGATCGATGATCCTCTCTCATCATTGATGTTTCTTTCTCTCTCTCTCCCTTTCCCTGCCTCTCTGAAATCAATAAAAATATATATCTGTTTTTAAAATCTTACTGAGATGTAAAGGTGTTAGAAACTCTAAATCAAAGCAAAAATCCCTGGCGGTTCCATTATCTAATAATCAGGTCCCTGCAGTGCAGGGGACGAGGGGCCCAGAATCAAATCACAGAACTTGCCCATCACCCTCTTGCCCAACATTTTCCCACCAAAGTTAGAGTGATAATTAAATTCGAATACGCCAAGACCTGAGAGGGATGAGTCAGTACAGTAAGGCCTCTGTAGCCCCGAGGGAGGGGCTCTGTCCCTTTCCGTGCCCAGACAGGGGGTGCTCCTTCCAGCCTTAGAGACAGCTGCGCCCAGGGCAGGGGCGGCTACGCACAAGAGCAGAAGTGATCCTGTAACCAGTATCCACACAGCACATCCTCTCAGGGAAGCAGAGCTGTCCAGGGGCCACTTGAATAACCACCCCCTTAAGACGCACACCCGCCCAACTTTTTGGGGAGCAGGCGGGCATTCACCGGTCAACACCACCACACTGAGTGCGGGCACATTCCTGAAACAGCCGTGGTTACGGATGAGTACCAGGGCTGGACGGGCCCCAGGAATTCACTGTGGTGCAGGGCCCGCCTCCAACACTGTCCCGGGAGCCACGCTGTGCGGCCAGCATCACTAACACGTGGGCCCCCGGCTGCCCAAATGGGAAAGCCAAGCAGGCGGGGGGAAGGCAGGCTCCTCCTCCCCTGGCCTTCACATTGGATGGGGCCTGGCAGGGAATGTGGAATCAAGATAGGCATGTCTGTTTAGGTGAGAGCCGTAAGAGCACGTTTGTTTGGTTTTTAAAAAAGAAACAAACAAATGCAAGGGCAGGAGGTGTGCGGGAGGTCACTGCTGCCTCAGAGAGCCGTCACGCATCCCTCACTGACAGCAGAGGGGTGGGTGGTTCTGGCCACAGGCAGTCAGTCATGCCTGGGAGCTAAAAAGGGCATCTGGAAGTATGCCTAGGCCAGGGGTGTGCATGTCAGGGTGGCAGACGCCCTATGTTCAGGACGGGGTGCTCTTACCTCATCTCCTTCCTCTCCCTTTTCCACTCCTGCAAAACCAGCTGGGACTCGGCATCTCTGTGCACCTGCAGGACACAAGCCAATTACTGAGAATGTTCTGGATACAAATAAACTCAGTAGGTAATAAGAATTTTTAATGAGCAGCTTTCCTCGTGAACAAATTTTATTCAAATCTGAGAGATGGGCACTTGCATGAAATAATACATTTTCAGACTTCCCAGTTGCAACCCTCCCTTCTTTACCAAAATAGTTTTGAATGTCCAACAACAGAAACATGGTTTAACAAATGAAACTGGATATTATGAAGATATTAAACACGGCCTCTATTAAAGTAGATAATAAAGTATTGTTAAAGGTTATTAATGAACATGTGCATATGTAACTACATAAAGTCTATGTATATACTGTACATATGTGTATACTGTACATATGTGTAATGTATCCATTACACATATTGTTTTTTAATCCTTCCCCGAGGATATTTTTTCCATTGTTTTTTGTTTTGTTTTGTTTTGTTTTACTTTTTAGAGAAAGTGGAGGGGAAAAGGGGGAGAGAGAGTAACATCAATGTGAGACACATCAATTGGCTGCCTGCCACACGCACCCCAACCAGGGCCAGGGATCAGCCTGCAATCGAGGTACACGCTCTTGACTGGGAATTGAACCCATGACCCTTCAGTCTGCAGGCTGACGGTCTAAACACTAAGCCAAAACCAGCCAGGGCCATTACACATAGTATTACCTATAGGAATATATACTTACTACATACTATCTATCACATGATGTATATATTATGCATATACATCAACATAAAAATGGAAGGTAAGTGGAAAGAATAGGTACATCCACTAATTGGAAGCACCTGAAAATATGTGCATATATTAAGAAATTAACAACAAAAAATTTCTTTAATTTATGCAAGGGTAGTAGAATTATAATTTGTTTTACACTGTCTTCCTTAATATTGTATTATCTTTTAAAACGTTTAAGGGGAAAAAATGTTTCTGTAAAAGGCAAAAAGGTGTAGCACCTCAACCAGATGGAAAAGCAGAGAATTCTCTGGTTGGGCTGAAATAAGAGCAAAGGCACCAAGAACATGGCAACTGCCCACAACCTAACAATGGAATCTCACAAGTCTCTCTGAGAGGCTCCCGTGGCCGAACAGGAGGCTCAGCCAGAATCAGAGGCGCGTGTGACCGCAGGGGACAGGTGGCTCCCTGCCCTTCACAGTCACGGGGCAGCCTCAGGGCCCGGAGGAAAAGACCAAACAAACCATCTGCCTCTGACGTGAGAGCCAAGGCCCTTCTGTTTACCACGTCTGCCCAGCTCACCAGCTTGGCCAACAGGCACGCGCTCAGGGTCTCTGCCACTCAGATAAAACCCTGAGCTTGCAATTTGGGTTTCTTGCCCAACACCACTGACTACACCAGCAGGCAGCAGCTACACTGAATGACCATGGCCGTGTCACTGGAGACCGGATGGCTGGCCCGGCACTTCTGGGGGTGTTGATGGTTTTGTGAGCCTAGTTTAAATAGCTCTGACATTTCAATTAACAAATTACTCACTATAGAATTTAAACTCTACAATGTACGTGACTAGATCAAAAATCTGTAGAGTGTCACAAGTAATTTACTTAGACATATATATGTATATACACATGCATATATATATATACATATATGTATACATACACATGTACTCTTGTGCATATATACCCATATGTATACATACACATGCATATTACTGTATGACCCTAGCACAGACTTGAGGCTACATTAACCCAGAATCGATGCCTTTTGTTTTTAGAAAACCATCTCACAGACGAGCACGGGCAGGAAACAGAACGAGTCCTTGTCAGAGAAGAGTCGAGAACCAAGGGAGCCGGAGCACGAAGAAGAAAGACCAGGCAGTGCGGGCCCCGTGCTCTGCAGTGTGGGCACCCTGGAGTGTGGGCCTGGCCTGCCACCCCGCGCAGCTCTGCCTGAGCTCACACAGGCTGCCAGCTGGGCCAGGCAAGGCAGTTCCCTGGCCATTTCCAAAGCGGGCTGGCAGGCCGTGGGCAGAGGCTGCGGGTGCGTTAGCCAAGAGAGCGCATCCGTGCCCCTTATCCTGAAAGAGTCGGCCCTCACGCCGAGAGGGCTGAAGGCCTGGCCAGCGGAACCAAGCGAGAAAGCAAGGTGCCTCATGAGCTTGGAAAAGGGGTCACAGCTGCCACAGAGGGACATCCTCACAGGCCAGGAAATCACCACAAAAAAACAACAAAATTGAATATGTGACTTATGGGAAGAAAAACCCACCACTGCTCTCTAGTGAGCCAGCCAATTGTAGGTATTATCTTCAAAAGCAAGTGGAGACTGCACCCAGGGGCCCTGACTCTTGCTTGGAGACTTTCCAGGAAGCTGTGGTGCCTAGCCTAAGTGTTCATTCCACAGGACCCTTCATTTTACAGAAGGGGAAACTGAGGCCCAGACGGAGAAGACCACTGCAGGCTAATGGCAGAAGCAGGACTAGACCCAAACGAAGGCAGAGGCTCTCGAATCCCACCCCCACAGGACATCTCCCTAAGGGGCTGCGGTGGGAGTGAGGCCACTGGAATTCCAGACAGAGAAACGTAAACAAAAGCCTTTTTCTCCAAATGGCTTTGGGGGCGTTGAGAAAGGTCTCTTCAGGGAAATTGGCAAAACTCTTAGGGGCAAAATAACCCCCGTAATTATTCTGCAGGATGACTTATGCCTCATACTTTGTAACCACAATTAAATAGAGAATATCTAACACTGGCCAGTGCACTAACTTGAGGCTTACAGAAAAAGGAGGAGAGAAAAAAATCTCAAACCTGCATTCGCTCCAGTAACCCGGTCAGCGTCTGCAGCCAGGTCATGGTCTGGATGTACTGTTCTGTGTTCATGATTCTGAGCTCAGACCGTAACTCTGGGATGATGGCACCAGTCCTCCAGCCATGCTTCAGGGTCAAGTCCTGCTCACAAAGATCACAGAGAGTCAACATTAATCTCAATGGACTTTAAGTCATTGCATGACCTGTCCCAGACACAACAGGCACTCATTGAATTACTTTTTAATTGTAATGGTTAGTTATTAACCAAGACGAATTCAATGAATTACATGCCATTAAACCCAAGTTAGCCTAGGGCTTTGATCATTTCACCCCAAGTAAATTTGTTCGGGAAATAACTGCTGTAAGTCACAGCCCTTGCAGACACTCAGGTCTGGAATCATTATCCACGGCCTGTAAAACAACAATTAGGTCAGGGGCAGAAAGAGGATGGACCACGATACTATTCATCCACAGACGGCAGGGAACACCCACTGGGCGCCAGGCCTCGCGGGTCATGGGGAACCGTGGAATATCAGACTTGGAATGATCACACAACATACACACACATGATCACAGTTTTCATTCCAATATTATAACCCTATGAGCTGACAATAGGCCAAGCGACCTGATGTCAGTTATGTCCCAGAAAATCTAAGATACGCAATCACTGTACTAAAAGGTCATTCATTTTCTCATTTGGCAAATATTTATCAAGTCCTATTTGCCAGGCCCATTTCTACAAACTGAGGATAAAACAATAAACAAAAACCGACACATCCCTGCCCTCATGGGAAATACAAATGACAAATAAGTAAGTAAATGCACAAAGCCAAGTGGTCTTAACAAATTTTAAAAGGTTGAAATCGTAAAAAAAAAAAAAGCACCTTTTCTACTTAGAAGGAATGAAACTAGAACTCAACAGCAGAAGAAAGAACTGGAAAATTCACAACTATGTGGAAATTGAACAACACTCTTAATGGGTCAAAGAAGAGATCACAAGGGAGATTAGAAAATACCTCGAGGCAAATCAAAATGCAAACACAACATACCCAGACCTACCTACGGGTGCCGCAAAAGCCATGCTGAGGATGAGATCTAGAGCTATAAACACCGACATTAAAGAAGGCCTCAAATCACCTAACTTTGTACCTTAGGGAACTAGAAAAAGTAAACTAAAAGTTAGCAGAAGGAAAAAATAAAGATTAGATCAGAAATAGAAGACAAAACAAAAAAAATCAACAAAACCAAGAGTTGGTTCTTCAAAAAGATCAACAAAATTGACAAACCTTTAGCATAACTAAGAAAAAAGAGAGGAACTCAACTTAGTAAAATCAGAAATTTAAGTGGTGCCATTATTACCGATTCTACAGAAATAAACACGTTTAAAAAGAGTACTCTGAGCTTCTGTATGCCATCACCTTCTGGATAACCTAGATCCGTGGTCGGCAAACCACGGCTCGAGAGCCACATGCGGCTCTTTGGCCCCTTGAGTGTGGCTCTTCCACAAAATACGATTGAAACTTCGTGGCCCATGCGCAGAAGTCGGTATTTTGTGGAAGAGCCGGTATTTTGTAGAAGAGCCACACTCAAGGGGCCAAAGAGCCGCATGTGGCTGGCTAGCCGTGGTTTGCCGAGCCGCAGTTTGCGGACCACTGACCTAGATGAACGGACATTCCTAGAGACACACACCTGCGAAGACTGAATCACTAGGCAACGGGAAATCTGACAGACCTCTAACTAGTAAGGAGATTGGATTAGTAATCCAAACACTTCCAACCAAGCCAAGCCCAGAACCAGATGGCTTCCCTGGTGAATTCTACCAAACACTGAAAGAGGAGTTAGCATCAATCCCTCTCAAACTCTTCCCACAATCAAAGAGGAGGGGGTCCTTCCTAACTCACTCTGAGGTCAGCACTACCGATAGCAAATTCTAGTGTGGAAAGCTGGTTAAAACACAGATGGCCAGGCGCCCCCCCAGAGTTGCTAACTCTGTAGGTCTGGGGCGAGGCTGAGAATCTGCATTTCTTACAAGGTCCCAGTGGAGCTCATGCCACAAGACCACACCCAGACGTGTGTGTGTGTGTGTGTGTGTGTGTGTGTGTGTGTGTGTGAGATATATATATATATATATATATATATATAGAGAGAGAGAGAGAGAGAGAGAGAGAGAGACACCTCACAGGGCCACGTACCACATGACCTAAGGGCAGTGCACAGCATCTCATCAGGCCGAAGACCCCACCTAGCAAGAGGCAAACACCCACGGTGATGCCACGTCCCGTGGCTAGACATTCTGGGAGTGCCGACATCCTGACAGTGACACTTTATATTTCTAGTTTATGAAGCACTGTTATATACATTATCTTATTTCACACTTCTTACAAATGAGGACATCAGAGCTTGAGGGAAATGTTCAAGGTCACACAGCTAGTAAACAGTAGAACTGCGGTAAAAACTACGGTCTTCTAATCTGAGCCCATGGTTCCTTCCACTAGACCTCTACCCATAGACAGACGGGACGACAAAGGTGTGCACAGGAGTCACCTGGGGAGATTTCACTACACACAGGCGCTGGGACTGACCCGTCTAGCTCCAATGACATATTGTTCCAACTACAGGTTCAAGCATAATTCGAGGCCTGCAATCCCCTCTAGTCATTCCAATGGCATGAAAAGCCTCGTTTTCACTTAAGGGCTGTTTCTGGGAAAAGTGAGTTTTTAACGCATCCAAAGCGACAGGCTGGCAACGGGGCCCTGACTGATGCCTCAAGTCTTTATGCGGCAGTTGTGTGGTTCTGACACATTGATAAATTGAAAAGAAAAGAGCACTGGCATTTATTTCTTACCATTACTTAAATGGAAAGATTTTTCTGATTAAACTCTGAGTCAACTGCTAACTTCCATCATTTCTCCCCAAAAAATGTGTCTTTTTCATAACTGATCCATCCTGTTCTATAAAATATAAGGCATTAAAAATGTGACCTACTCCTCGCTTTATGAAAGCATAAAAATGGTCTTAACCAAAAGAGAAATTCCTTAGTAAGTGGGACTAACACGTCTGTCCCCCAATGAAGAAATAGAAAAAAAAAGGCTCCTCTCACCGCCAGGTCGCTGTATATATGGTCACCAAAATATAACACTTTGGATCCTCTCCATCCAGTAAGCTTCAAAAATTCATATAAATTGCCCTGCAATAAGGAAAATACAGATATTATCTCCTGTGACAGGTAGAAGCTCTTATATAACCCATGGCCCAAAATACCTTTTTTAAACTTCAAAAAAATTATTTTGCTTTTATAACTTATTTTAAATAACAAAATATAAAGACAAAAACATCTTAGTCTGAAACCTTTCAGGCCTTTCTTCTACGTCAGATGTACTTTTCAAAAAGGGTTCATATTGTATATGCCTCTTTGTGACAATCTGTTCACACTTAGCAGGCGATGGCTGTATTCCCAGGTAAAATATTAACCTGCCATGTAATTCCATTCCTGAGAAGTACCATAATCCATTTTACAAATTCCCTGTTATCATTTACTTTGTTATCTATTTTGTAAGTAATTTCATTCTTATAGTAGGGTTTTAGCTACATCTTAAATCATTCTCTTGGGCTAACTTCCTAGAAGTGGAATGGCTTTTCAAAGCTAAGTTTTCAAGGCCTACTACATATACTTAATGTCAAGGTTGTTCTAAACCAGCCGTGGGCAAACTACGGCCCGCGGGCCGGATCCGGCCCGTTCGGCTGTTCTATCCGGCCCGCAGAGCCGAAAGAGCGGAGGGTTCTCTTACTCTCCCCTCCGCTCCTTCACCAGCAGCAGTGTTAACATGTATTAGTTCACACAAACACTCCATCCATGCTTTTGTTCCGGCCCTCCGGTCCAGTTTAAGAACCCATTGTGGCCCTCGAGTCAAAAAGTTTGCCCACCCGTGTACCCACTAGGAACGTATCAATACATTAAAAAAAAACAACACAATAATAGCAAGTCAATCGTTTATTCAAATATTTGCAAGCCTTATGTAATATCAAAATATATTAAAACTGTAGATTAAGACACAGTTTGTCACGAAATAATTACTAATTTTCGCAAATAATGTGCCATGTGATTAAATCCTTTTATGGAGACATTTCCAAGCTTTGCTACCTATATCTTAATTGTTATTTACTATGAAAAGTAATGCTTTCCATTTTGTTTTAAGAAACTGTTCAATTCTGAGTTGATGTAGATACTGACTTAAGCTTAAATTCTGCCACTAAGTCATAAACAGTCCACAGGGCAGAGCACTGGGCACTGCCAGCCCCAAGTGAGCCTCGGTGAACTGTCATCATTACTGACCACGCGCAGCCAAGCAGCCAAAGGGATAAACTGGTCGTGAGGTACCTGCTTGTAAATCTGGCCCTTCTGCAACTTGTAGATTTTATCCCAGAGTAAGACACCTTTCTCATTCACCTTTCGGAAAGGTCTAAGAACAGAAACGGGAGTCGTTATGAGGGTGGTGGTTGTGCAGGCCGCCTGCTGTGTGAAACACCACATGGTTACCCACTGGGAACAGAAGGGGGCTGCCTGAACCTGAGAAATCCCTGAAAACAACTCCGGCATTCCCCCTCCCAGGGCAAGGTCTCCCAAACTGTGGCTCCACCCCCACCGCCCACACCCCATCCCTGGGTCCAAGGACTTATAGTAGAGAAAGAACCCCAGGGTCAGATATACAATGGCTCCCGTTTCCCAAGACTACTGGGGCAGAAAGACACTCTATAAGTCTTGGTAGAAATTTACTCCACCTGATGCAAAACCTGTGTTGCAGAGAGTTTTGCAAATTCCAACTGCAATTTTAAAGGTACCGTTTGCAGCTCAAAAGAGCTACCCACCAGGTGGTTTGTTGCCGCTGTTTTGTTATACTTCACAATGCATCTGCATCAAGAGATCTAACATACTCTGTCAGAGTAAGTTTGCATTTTTCATTGTTATCAATCAATTTCTGAAAGCCTGACCAAGAGGACTGAAGCAGCCCGAGTTGAACTGAGATCCATTTTGATTTGTGTAAGATGTCTGCTCTGCACAAATCTCACTCTCCTCACAAGCACTTGCTAGACGACTTTAAAATCAAAGGTGTTGACGGCAGATGCTTGTGATTTCCAACCGGATTTCACCAAGACACGCTCCATCGTAAGCATTCACAGCAGCAAATGAGGAAAACCTAGTCCCCTGGAGAGGCAGGCACTCACCTCCGCTTATCGTTAAAGAAGCTCGGCTTCTCGGCCTGCACGATGACCACGTCAAACAGGTCCCGCCAGTCCTTTCCAACGATATAGCTCATCCCTTTGTCCCTAAACAACACGCCGGCCAGGTTAGTCTAGCACTGAAGGGGTTAACTGTTTTTGCAACTTTTTCTTGCAAATTTCCACTGTGACATGCAATCCAAGAAGTGAGGCGGAAGCCAGCCAGGAAACTCAGGACTTACACAAAGCTGCTGGGGCTGTTGGTGATGAGGAACATCTTCTTGCCGTGATCAGCCAGTTTGGCCAGCACCGCGCGGGTCTGCTCAGCATAGCAGATGTACTTATCTAAGAGCGAGAGAAAAATGCACACACAGATTCAGCACGATGCCCGCTCAGTCTGCCAGTGCTTGCTGAATGGGGCCTGCGGGCCCGGCGCTGTCCAGGGCACATGGGGGAAGAGAAAGCGGTTTTACGGGAGCCTGGGTCAGGGTGGTCTATCAGTGTCCGGTGCATCAGTAGCCAAGACCCCCGCCTCCTCGGTCTAAGGGGAAAAACGAAGGGACTGCAGCTGCCAGCGCCTCTCCTTCTGAGTCAGGATTATGTCAAAGGGGAGGGAGACGGCTGAGAGGTGGGGATGCAGGGCCCTTGCCTGGCACTCAGAAAGGTGCTACAGTCTGCTCAGCACCTGCAGTGAAAGTATGATGCCTGCAGCGGGCCATGGGGAAGGGGCAGCCTGGACCGGCTTCGTGGCAATGCCAAACACGTACCAATGTCTGCTTCGACGGCTCGGTACATGATTCCTTTGATGTGCACATCTCGAATTGCATCCTGTCAAAAGATACGTTTTTAATCCGTGAGCACACTGGCCTGAGTAGCAATACAAGTGAAATGGCACTCTGTCATGAGGAGCCTGCAATCCAAGCACTAAATGAAATCTAAATCTTGGCCCATTTGTCAGAGGTGGCCCCTGTGGGGAAAACGTAAGTTTCCATGGTGACAGTGGCAGTTCTCCATGCAATCTGCAAGAGGGTCACTGGGAGCAGGTAATTTGTGTGGATAATTCTGAAAAAAAAAGCCTCACATGATAAAACATAATTTATATGCAGGATCGTGAACAAATGATTCCAGGCCATCCGGGCAAAGGGCATTATTGTTCTTTTCATCTCTGCACCCTCCCCTAGACCCCAACAGCAGGTTCAGTCATCTAGGAAAGAGGCAGAGACAACAAGAGAATGGACCTGCCTCTCTTCAGTGCTGCCAATGAGGGAGAACTGCCAGTGGGGATGCTGACTCCGGCAGAGATGTGGTCCAGCCCTTGGACACGAGGAGGAGGAAGCAGCTAACCCTTTGGCAGGCCCAGGAGTGTGGCAGCCTGATGCCTGGCAGGTGTCAGAGCACAGCCCCACTCTCCGGTGGCACCGAGAAGGTCCTCTACACAGGTGGCACCTGGAAACTTTCAGAGCCGGTGACAGGGGACTTGACTGTGGACAAACTGGGCCATAAGCCTTAGAAAATCACAGATTTCTGTCAAGCGTGAGCACTCTGGACTGTAAATTCAACCTCAATCCCCTTCCAGTACAGGCTTATTTCGACATCACATCGGCAGAAGGCAATGGCTAAGAGCAAGCCAGAACCAAACTTCCCGGCTTAAAATCTAGACTCTACTATTTACTAGCTGTGTGACCATGGGCAAGTTACTCAACCTCTCTGTGCCTCAATTTATCTATAAAATGAGGGTGATAATAACAGTTTCTACTTCAAGGCATTATTCTGAGGGTTTAGTTAGTTAATGTGCGTAAAGCACTAAGAAGAACAGTGCCCAGAACACAGAAAACTCGGCATATGTGTTCACTGTTGGTGGTTGTCACACTAATAGTAAAAACTGAACTTTTAAATAAACATCTCTCCTCACAAGTACAAGGGGTTATATAACTATAAGTGATTCTTAAAGATTCTTACAAATGAAGTATTTGTGTGCACGAAAAGGAAATTAGAAACTATTTCAGTTCACAGAACACCAAATTGATATTGAGAAACTATAATTCATCTTTTATCTGCCTAAAACCTAGGATTCAGGGCAGTCAAAATTTTAAATTAGTCATAAACATATAATAAAAAATACTGTAGGAATGAATATGGACCTTTTAAAATACATATATTTCAATAAATATGTATTATATACAAATTATCTATATTAATAAAAGCATAATATGCTAATTAGACCAGGCATCCTTCTGGACGACCTTCCAGACAAACCTGGGACTGCAAGGGAAGCCCAGGTCCCAGGTGCCAGAGGGAAGCCAGTGCCGGCAGCCAGGGGAAGGCAGGCCTACTCACGAATTTTGTGCATCGGGCCTCTAGTATTTCATATAAATATATTTCTATCACATGCTTAGAAATATATAAGAAAACCATATTAAATAACATAAACATTTTTAAGTACTGAAAAAGTTCAGTTTAAAGAATATTAAACATGTGACTATGAATGAAAGCATATAAGTACAGAGTTATATAAATGAGGTGTGTATATGCATAAAATATTTATGTTGATCTTTCTCCCCTTTCGAATAGATTTCCACAGCTGCTGCAGGGCCTCCAGGAGCCTGCATGGCACCTCCGTGTGCCAGAGACAATGGCGCCTCCTGTTGGCAGCTGCGTCCCTGGGTCACAGCCTAAGACTCAAATGCCGGTCTTTTTGTAGAGCCACCCAGCCGCTGGCCAGGCTCAGGGATGAGCCGGGTACAGCTAGACCACAGTCACCACTCACCCCTCTGGCCTCAGAAAGAATTAAGAAATCCAGGTAACAATATGAGCGCCCTCTTCTTTTAACAACAAATTTGACTGATTTCCAGTTCTCCTAACGAAACATCTTACAATTTTCAGGGACAAACCACAAATACAAGCGCTCCCAGGCAAAGGCTATGTCAGGCACCTAACCTACACAGGAGCCTCAGGATTCTGCTAGTTCCGTGGAAAAGCGCCAGGGGTGGGAACCCGGGACCTCCCCCCGCCCACACAACCTTGACGTCTTTGTACAGGTGGACAGGCTCATAGTCGATGTTGTTCTTCAGAAAGTATTCGTTCACGCAGGACAGCAGGCTCATCTCGGGCAGGGAGAAGATGTCCATGAACTGCTTCATGGTGTTCCCGTGGGAGCTCTGCGGGCAGGGAGCGCAGTGAGAATCCGAGGCCCACACCCAGCAGGGCCAGACTCGGTCTTTCCTGAGGGCGGGGGCGGGGGTGGGGGGCTGGTCAACCTGATCCCTCTCCACGAGAAAAGCAAAACTCTAACAATACAGACTTAAAAAGGCTCACCTTGTTCCTCTCAGCCAGGCGGAGCTGACATCTCGCTTTGAGCATAAGGGGCACATGCAAGGAAATTCCCCAAAGTCTAACCGCCCTCCCCTTTCACTCTCCTCTGTGCTGTGTCCAACTCCCAGCTCACAGTCCCATCGAGCTCCGAGGAGAGCAGGGAAGTTAAACCCTTGGAAAGGCAGAAAAGGCCACTTGACTTTCCTGAGTTTGAGCACCTCCCAAGCCTGTGTGTGAGCTTGAAAAAGAGCCTTTCTCTGAATGGCTGCCAACTTTTTTAAGTTTACCAGCTAGTGAGACATCTGCCATTGCACTTGGACAATGCAAGCAAGGCAACGCATCTAATAAGAAGCAAAAATGCGGGGGGCCAGGAGAACCACAAAAGTTAGAAAAACAGGTTTCCCTTCAGGCACAGGGTGACCTGCTGCCCTCAGTCTCAGGGGAGGCGACAGCCGCTGCACTGACAGCCCCCAAGGACTTCATCCAGAACGTGGGACACCTCGGGGGGTGGTGGCAAACGGGCAGGTACCAGGAAGGCGTAAGGAGCCTTCATCAGGTAAGGAGGAAAGGCCTGAGAAAGGAGAATCACGAAAGAACCTACGGAGCCTGTTCCATACTAATCTCTCAAACCTTGGGTCTCTCAAAACAATCCCAACGTTCCTCGTCAGTTCCCTATGAGCAGTCCCAGAGCCTAGGGATCCAAGCTCCTCCATGTCCCAGGCCATGTCTTCAGGAGGAAAAAGACAGGCTGCTTTACCTAAATACAGCCTTTCTCATTACCTTGCCATAAAAGTCGCTCATCTGTTCCAGAGGCACGTGGGATCCCTCGTACATTTCAATGACTTCTTCATCAGGGACCACACTGAGGCCTCTGGGGAAAGACAGGCAGCGCAGTTCAAGAGCTTGGCCAGCGAGAGCAAGGACTGTCACACCCCTAGCAAGTGCTGGGAATTTTCAAGCAAGGTGTGAGGCGTCACAAGGAGGCACGATGTGCCACTAGTAACTGCTGCCAATGACAGGCAAAGTGCTACTACGGTTACTCCTGCTGCCACACTACAGGTAAGAAGAGCAGAAAGATAAGAGCTCAGATCACATGGCACCTACTATACGCCAGATCTGAGTTCCACATAGTCCTTCACTTAGTTCTCTGCAATCCCAGGCGAAAGGCACTGTCATGCCTCCCTTTTGCCCCCAGAGGCAACTGAGGCACAGAGAGCTCACATACCTTCCCCCCGGTCAGTAAAGTAGGAAGAGGTGGGTCAGGACTGGGTCCAAGGGCTTTGTGGGTCTTCAACCTCTCCGCCACACTGCCTCCCTCAACAAGGTCCAAGGCTTTCTAATGCCTTCCTTTGAGGTGAGTTTTCCATTTTTTAAAAAATGTTTTTAATGCATCCGGGAGAGAAAGGCTGGCTCCGTCTCCATCATCCCTGTGCCCTCTGAGACTCCACCCTAAGGTCAGTGCCGAGATGGAAAAAGGCATGCACAAGGCTCAGGGGACTAAACCCCGTGACACAAGGCAGGCGCCCGGGCACCACCTCCAGGAGGGGTGACCCAACGCTACGTGACAGTGAAGGCGTTTCCGCATCGGGACATGCCAAGGTAACACCCGCCTGCCTCCGGAGCTGCGGGGGAATCTGCAAATGAATCCGGCTCCTCCGCTCGCCGGAAAAAATAAGTTCTGGAGTCAGAGCGGCTGGGTGTCAGCCCTGCCTCTGCCAGCGCCGCTGGGAGCAGATGCCTGCACCCAGGGCTCGGTGGTCTCAAGTTTCCTCACCTGGAATGTCCCACTCTAGAGAGTAACCGGGGGAAATGTCAGCTCCTCTACCCCCTTCTTCCAAGAGAAGGTGCTCGAGAAGCAGACACCATGAGGAGGGACCAGAGAAGGAGTGGTGGGAGCACCACACGGCGCTGCAGCAGGGGTAGTATGTGATTCAATAAGGATGTTAGTTACGGATACACACAGGTTGCTTAAAATGCCGAGTCACTTGGCCAATATTAAAATACATACAAAAATAATTTACGTTTGATATACTATTAAAGAAAGTTTAATTTCAGCGTCTTTCCTCCATTACCCACCCCCGAATGACTTCTAAAAATAGCCGAGTGGATTCATTAATAGTTTGCCTCCGATCTTGATTAACCTGTTACAAGTACTAGCTTTGAAAACAAAAGGGGCCATGGACTTCCGTTTATCTCCGCTCCAGAAATCAGATAAGACGCTGGTACGAAGCCAGATCACTCCAGACAGTGACCTTGGAAAACAGCGCTTGCTAAGGTAGCAGCAGTCAAGTGTGCACACCTGTACGGCTTGAACAATTGGAAAGAAAATACAGTGGGGCCTTGACTTAGGAGTTTAATACTTTCCCAGACCGAGCTCGTTAAGCTCATTAAGGAGCTCGTTAACTCAAATTACTCTATCAACTCAATGCAAAAAATCGGCCAAGAGACAGCTGGTATCTCAAAAAACCCGTTAGTCGGGACACTGGTAAGTCAAGGCCCCACTGTACAAAAAGTAAAAGAATTCTGCGGGGTGGGTTCTCAGCCTCCACACTGGGCCCGACCGCGTCCTTCCGAAGCCACTGCTGCCTCTGAGCACGGACACAGGAACCTGGGCACACAGCTGCATCCTTAAGGCGTACGTAACTAAATGCCAGCTCAAAAGCAGCCAAGGAATCAGCCTGCTCCAGGGTGTGTAAACCAGCACTGAAAACTACTTTACACACCCATGTGGTTATGAGAAATACAAGGGTTAGGAGCACAGATCCGAACCAGTCTGCCTGGGGTTCAAATACCACCTCCCTTAATTACTAGGGGTATTTACTACCTAGACAAGGAATTTAACACTTTGGGTCTCAGTGTCATTTTAAAACTGAAACAATAATAGTACCTACCTCCTAGTGCAGTGATGGCGAACCTTTTGAGCTCGGCATGTCAGCATTTTGAAAAACCCTAACTTTACTCTGGTGCCGTGTCACATATAGAAATTTTTTGATATTTGCAACCATAGTAAAACAAAGATTTATATTTTTGATATTTATTTTAGATATTTAAATGCCATTTAACAAAGAAAAATCAACCAAAACAAATGAGTTCGAGTGTCATAGGTTCGCCATCACTGTCCTAGTGTTACTGAGAAGACTAAACGAGTTACTGTATATGAACAGTAATTGGTACATGATAAGGGCCTGTGATGGGAACAACCCTAGCTTTTCACAAAGGTTCCAGTTAAGAAGTGAAACGTTGGGTGCAAAATTGGACTGCAGTGGAGAGCAGTGTGCCGCCTCCCCTGCCCAGCGGCACTCACTCCCACAGCCCACGACATAAAATGCCGGGGTCCAGCCCCAGCGGGTCCAGGGGTCCCCAAAGGTGTGGACGGAGTCGGCGAAGAAGGAATGACGTGGAGGCAGCGTTCAGTTGATCAGCAGCCTAGCCAGGATCTCCAGCCAGGATCTCCAGCCAAGTTCTGGTCTGGATCTCCAGAGAGGTTCTGCTTCAGATCTCCAGCCAGGTTCTGTCCAGGTTCTCCAGCCAGGTTCAGTCACCAGGTTCTAGTCAGGTTCTCTTGCCATATTCTATAGTCAGGTTCAGTCCAGGATCTTTTGCCATGTTCTCTCGCTAGGTTCTGTCTCTAGGTTCTGAGGCCAGTTTCTGTCCAGGATCTTTTGCCATGTTCTCTCCAGCGAAGTTCTTCTGTCTCTAGAGAACGTTCTGTGTAGGTTCTGTGCCTAGGTTCTGTCTCTCTTGGTTCTGTATTCTAAGTTCTGTGTTCTAAGTTCTGTGTTCTAAGTTCTGTGTTCTAAGTTCTGTCTCTTGCTGTCTAGTTACATCTGTATTTATACCAGTTGATTCAATCCTATCAATCTCTATTACAAAGGTTAGGGCGTTTCTTATCTCCATTCCAGGGAGTAAAGATTATGTAGCTTAAGCATGATTGTTCATAGTTAAAGTGATTAATTACCCGCCTGGCACTTAGTTAAGAGGTTTTATTCCCTCCCTAACTTCAGGGGAAAATCCCTACCTGGGGAAACAACCTTTCTCAGAGACCTTGGTTAAAACACATAGTGCCAAGAAGGTGAGCAAACATATTAAGAACAGTATGCCATATATGCCAGGTCCCTTGAAACAGCAAGGATGGACCCGCTCCCGGCAAATTCCCCCTTTTTTATTTTTTAAAAGCAGGCATTAAAAAGAAAAACCCGAAATGCTCTCTTGTATCCATTTTAAGAGTGGAATGGCGCTTTCCGCTATTACCTGAGTCCTGATCTATCACCCCAGGGAGAGCTTGCCAATCCTGCACTTTCCTGGGGTGGAAAGGCTGCAGTGGGGTTAAGGATAAGGCTCCTTGGGCCTACCTTCTCCCATGCCTCTACATTTACCTTTCTGGCACCTTTCCTTCCTCAGAAAAGCATGGACATATTTCTTGTATAAAATGTTCCATCTGACTGGGAGTAACCTTAACTCCTCTGCTAGCAAGCATATGTGTTAAAAGATCAATACGGAGTCTTTTTTCTTTAGACTCAGTATGGCACATCTTCTTAATGTAAAGATCAATACAGAGTCTTCTTTCTTTGGACTCAGTATGGCACATCTTCTCAATCTAAGTTCTGTACTATCCACCTTCTTACCCTACTTATCCTCTATAGGGGGGTCTGCAGTACCCTGGTGGAGTCCTATCCGTCCTGAGTGTGGGGGTTCTCAATGGGGGGGCTTACCTAAGGGAATCCTGTTCCAGGGGTTCCCAAAGGTGTGGACGGAGTCGGCGAAGACTATCCACCCTATTCCTACGGTGAAGTCTGATCCGTCCCGAGTGTGGGGCGCTTACCTAGGGGTCCCTGTTCGGGCGCCATATGCCGGAGTCCTGCCCCAGCGGGTCCAGGGGTCCCCAAAGGTGTGGACGGAGTCGGCGAAGAAGGAATGACGTGGAGGCAGCGTTCAGTTGATCAGCAGCCTAGCCAGGATCTCCAGCCAGGATCTGGTCTGGATCTCCAGCGAAGTTCTGCCGTTTATTGTCTTGTTACATCCATATTTATCCCAGTTGATTTTAATCTTGTCAATTTCTATTACAAAGGTTAGGGCGTTTCTTATCTCCATTCCAGGGAGTAAAGATTATGTAGCTTAAGCATGATTGTTTGTAGTTAAAGTGATTAACTACCCGCCTGGCACTTAGTTAAGGAGTTTCATCCCCTCCCTAACTTCAGGGAAAAATTCCTACCTGGGGAAACAACCTTTCTAGGAGAGGCATCCCCTCCCTGACTTCAGGGAAAAATTCCTACCTGGGGAAACAACCTTTCTTGGAGAGGTGACCTTGGTTAAAACACACAGCGCTAAGGGGAGCAAACATATTAAGAACAGTATGCTATATACGCCAGGTCCCTTGAAACATATGCTGTGCAGATGTTTCTTTCCTGCAGCGACTGTGTCAAGCAGCAAGGATGGACCGGCTTCCGGCAATAAAATTCAACATGATGCAGCAACTGGGTCCCCTCGGCAGGTGTCTGGCCTCAGGCCGCAGAAACCGGAAGCATTCCTCCCAGCCACTCACTCATTCACGACCCCTTCTGAGGGGAAAGGGAAGAGAAGTGGTATCTGTGCCTATAGTGCTTTGGGCACCGTTCAAGCATGCTTTAGTCTGCATGACAAGCTGCCCCTAAGGAGGGCACTGGGGCCATGCCCATTTGACAGAGGAGCAAACCAAGGCTTTAAGACAGTCGAGAGCTTGCTCAAAGCCACACACCTAAGTGGTGGGGTCTGAGTTTCCACTCAGGAAGCGTGACTCCAGAGCCCACACATGGGCCCCTGCTGGTTCAGCCATATCCCTCTCAGCACTAAGGCCACAGAGACCTTCCCAGGATCTAAAGGTGGACTCCTGCCCCTCAGCTGGCTTCTCCTGCCTGGCCCCACCCATACACCTTAACACAATGGCTTATTTATCTACAGAAGAAACAAGACTATTAGAAGCCAAGAGCAAAGACAAAGACCATTTCAGGCTGAAGGGTGAGGAGAGGCCTGGAGGAGGGCTGGAATTTTAAGGAGCAGAAAGGAAGGAAAACTATCCTGGTAGGATGGCCGCCAGCATGAATAGATGTTGCAGGGAGAGAAGAGAACTCAGAGGAGAGGAATACCCCTGTTGTTTGTCCCTGCCCAGCATCCGCTCCCTCTAAGACTGATTGAAACTCTAGGAAAGAGAAATTGCCCTTCTCTCAAGCTGGGGGCATGGAAGCCTGGTAATTCCAGGGGTCCCCACACGGAGGGCCTGCCCAGAGAGAACTTACCCAGAGGGCAAGAGAGCCAAGGAATGGAAAGAGTTCTGACAACATCAATTTGGGCCCCAGAACCAGCCACACCTGCAACTGGCCTCTCAGTCAGTGAGCCAGTGCTGTGTTTTCGTCTAAGCCAGTTTGAGTTGGGTTCCAGTCACTTGCAATCAGAGTCTTAACCAAGCCAGTAAGTTAAGAAGCTATGCGTGCAAAAAGGGGAAGCTAAGCGTTTAGAGGTGATAGAAAACCGAAGAGGTGTGGGAGGCCTCTGGATTTTAGAAGAGAGGAGGGGTGGCTGAGGAAAGTGCTGTACGTACATCAGTTGAGCAACAAAGTCCAGGATGGACTCCTCTGCAGAAAACTCAGGGCCCAGGAGAGAAGGGATGACGAGTGTCGGAGCCAGGGGGCTTACTCTTACCTGTAGACAGTCCCCAGCTGGATGTAATGAAAAGCATCAATCTTCATCAAGACTGCCTTCAAAAACATAAACACAGGTAAATAATGCACAACAATTTGCACACTGAATGAGAACTCCGGGTGCCGTTATAAATTCTATCGACAGTTGTTGTTACAACAAGGAAGCAGCTGTATGTTTCTGAAAGCGTTGCTTACTGGTTAAAGCAGTGTGCAACTCACTAAAGAAATGGCCTAGCCCAGCTGGTGTGGCTCAGTGGTTGAACGTCAACCTATGAACCAGGAGATCAAGGTTTGATTCCTGGTCAGGGCACATGCCTGGGTTGTGGGCTCGATCCCCAGTAGGAGGTGTGCAGGAGGCAGCCAATCAATGATTCTCTCTCATCATTGATGCTTCTATCTCTCCCTCTCCCTTCCTCTCTGAAATAAATTTTAAAAGTATTATAAAAAAGAAAGAAAGACATGGCCAATCTGCAAAGAAAGGTATGGCAACTGGCTCCTCCTCGCACCAACAAGGACTACTGGAAATAAACAGTATGTCCCAAATTGCTGAATGCATTCGTGCTTTTCTAATACATGGTCTCTTGAAAAAGCCTTTATCCAAAGACGTTTTGAAGAATCCAATTCTGTGGCACCAAAGGACATGAATTTAAAATCAATGTATGTGTTTGAGCAAAGAAAAGCACCAGGAGTATATTGTATCCAAACACCGTTAAATGAGAAAAACATGAGGATTAAACCTACCCGCTGCACATCATAATGAAGTCCACGAATTGCAAAATTTGGGTCATATTCATACTTCCTGATTTCCGCGGGATACTAAGAAAAAAGAAAGAAACCAGTTTTAGCTAACAAGGCACTAGTGGGTTCAAGGTAGTGTCCATTTTGGTCCTTGTACAAAGGCCGAGGTGGCTGACACACTCTGGTGGAAAGGTAGGATCAGAGGGGACGAATCGCACGCATCCCTCTGCTTCTGGAGGCAGCACTTCCGGCCCCAGAGCCCTCCACAGGCAGAGTCTCATCCCTCCAACTTCTCTCGTCTTTACTGCCCCTCCCCTCCTTCCCTCTGCCCCTAGACTCCCAGACCCCTGAGACCCCTGCTTCTACCTCCCTTAACACACTGTCAACCATCCATTCTGCTCAGATTGGAGCACCTCCATGTCACAGCCCTCGGATGGCCCATTACCAGGTTTTGTGAAGAGACCCCAGCTGAAAACTTTTCAGAGGGGCCCCTCCACGTAGCTTCCACTGCATCTCTCATCTGGTCAGCAGGTCACTCGCTTGCTCACCTTCCATGGGCTGGAGGGACCGCAGTGTCAGTGCAGCGTCCTCCCCGCTCAGGCTCAGAGGGGCACTTCTCAGCCAGTTACCACTCCAATGCTCTGACTCAGAACAAATGTGGCTTTTGGAGGTAGCTCAGGTCCCCCTGGTATTTCCTGGTTATTAAACTGTTCCTCCCAGCTCCCTCCTCATCCAAGTCTTTCCCTCCTGCCCAGTCTCAGCATTGGAACACCAGCTACCCCACTGACAGCACCAATGTACCGGGCACCGCAGGCCCTGCCATTCCCATTTCACAGATGGGGCATCAGAGACACCAGATGAAACCACCGGGCCTGGGCCACACAGCTGGGGAGTGGTGGGCGGGGAGTCAGGCTCGGCCTCTGACCCCCCACACTCTCCTCCCTCAGAGCACAGACCTGCAGGATAGAATAGGTATTCTTGAGTCTAGAGAGGCTGTGTCACCAGGATCTTCCAATCCCTATGTAAACTGCTTAAGTAAAAACCCAGGCGCCTATGCCAAAGCCGGTTTGGCTCAGTGGATAGAGTGTCAGCTTGCGGACTGAAAGGTCCCGGGTTCGATTCCGGTCAAGGGCATATACCTGGGTTGTGGGCACATCCCCGGTGGGAGATGTGCAGGAGGCAGCTGATCGATGTTTCTCTCTCATCGATGTCTCTGACTCTCTCTCTCCCTTCCTCTCTGTAAAAAATCAATAAAATATATTAAAAAAAAAAAAAAAAAAAAAAAAAAACCCAGGCGCCTAATTCCTGCAGTTTTAAGAATGCTTGTGGCCACAGGGAACACCTCCAAACTACACTTCCCACAATGCCTTAGGGCAACAAAGACTACAAACAGTCCCTCTCCCTGGGCAAAATGTGGGTTCATTACACCGAGTACAGGCATTAAAATTTCCAGAATCCTGGAGGAGAAAAATGATCCATAGACACGTCATTCTGGAGCCAAAATGTCTCAAAATAAAGCAGAGCTCTGGCGGACTGAGTGCCACTGACACGCCTGTCTGGCACAAACATTTCTTCAACTACACGGAACTTGTGAAAAATGGCATAAACAGAGCCATTTCTAATGTAGTTGGGGCCACCATCCCAGAGGAACTACCTTGCATGTCTTGCTCCTTAAACATCTGGAATATTTGACTTGGGCAAGATAACCTTTGGACCAGGCCAAACCAACACTGTCTTCTATACAACTGACAGGAAAGCAAACCTGACACAATAACAGAGTCACAGACATTCTTTAGAATCAGTACTGTGTATAGCTCAAGAAAAACAGCTTAATACAACTAGTGAAATTGAAGCAGTAATCAATAAACTCCCAACCAAGAAAAGTCCTCGACCAGAGGGCTTCATAGGTGAATTTTACCAAGCATTCAAAGAGGAACGAACACCTATCCTTCTCAAACTATTCCCCAAAAACCAAGAGGAGGAAAAACACCCAAGCTCATTTTACAATATTCTAATTCCAAAACCAGATCAAGACACTACAAGGAAAGAAAATTACAGGACAATATTCCCTGATAAACATAGGGATGCTGTTCATTAGCAAACCAGATCAAACAATACATTAAAAAGATCATACACCATGATCAAGTGGAATTTATTCCAGGAATGCAAGGTTGGTACAATATCTGCAAATCAATCAATGGGATACACCACATAAACAAAATGAAGAATAAAAACCACACAATCTGCCCTAACTGGTTTGGCTCAGTGGAAAGAGCGTCGGCCTGCGGACTGAAGGGTCCCAGGTTCGATTCCGGTCAAGGGCATTTACCTTGGTTGTGGGCACATACCCAGTAGGGAGCGTGCAGGAGGCAGCTGATTGATGTTTCTAATTCTCTATCCCTCTCCCTTCCTCTCTGCAAAAAATCAATAAAATATATTTTTTTTAAAAACACACCATCTTATAAACAGGTGCAGAGAAAAAGCATTTGATAAAATCCAGCACCCATTTATGATAAAATCTCTCAGCAAAGTGGGAAGAAAAAGTACATATCTCAATATAATAAAGGCCATATATGACAGACTCACAGCCAACATCAAACTCAATGGGCAAAAACTAAAAGCATTTCCCTTAAGATCAGGAAGACAGGGATGCCCACTTTCACCACTCTGATTCAACATAGTACTGGAAGTCCTAGCCACAGCAATCAGACAAGAAGAAGAAATAAAAGGCACCCAAATTGGAGAGGAGGAAGTAAAACTGTCATTCTCAGATGACATACTGTATATAGAAAACCCTAAAAACTCCACCAAAAAGCTACTAGATCTAATAAATGAATTTCGCAAAGTAGCAGGATACAAAGTTAATATTCAGAAATTAGTGGCATTTCTATACAATAATGAACTATCAGAAAGAGAAACTAAGAAAACTATCCCAGCCCTGGCTGTTTTGGCTAAGTAGATAGAGTATCGGCCTGCGGACTAAAGGATCCCAGGTTCGATTCCAGTCAAGTGCACATGCCTGTGGATTGCTGGCTCAATCCCCAGTAGGGGGCGTGCAGAAGGCAGCTGATAGATGATTCTCTCTCATCATTGATGTTTCTATCTCTCTCTCCCACTCCCTTCCTCGCTGAAATCAATAAAAAGGTATTTAAAACACAATAACAACAAAAAGCTCTGCACAGCAAAAGAAACCATCAACAAGATATATGCATAACCCATAGACACACATAGCAGTATGGTGATGACCAGAAGGAAGGGGGGGAGGGTGAATAGGTGGAGGTGGGCTAAGGGGGGAAGATGGGGACATCCATAATAAAGTCAACAATAAAATTAAAGAAAAAAACAAAGAATAACAGCTTATTATCACCAATAGAACTTTTTTTCTCTATTCATGTAATTATTTCCCTTCCTTTCTCACAAATCCCCTTGCCTTCACATCACAATAGAAACACTATTTGGGTTTCTGCCTGAATCAATTCTTTCTTCTCAAATAAATGCTTGTTGCCTCTCAAACAAAACACACAAAAAAACTAGGCAGTGATCAAGAAACCGCTTTGCAAGGCTGCACTGCTAACTTTTCAGGGCCAAAGTCACATTGGCGTGAGAACATTTCCCGGTCCCACCAGGCTGAACCACATTCAGCAAGTTTTCAATTCAAGCTGCAAAAAGCGCTGACTCAAATATCACATTTAGGCTCATTTATCTAACACCTACCTCGCATGCCAAGAAATCACTACGTGATAGTTCCACTCATGGGCGTTCCCAAGAATTCAGAACACTGTGCACAGTTCATACACACACACACCCAGCACCCAGCACCCAGCACACACATCATAGTCCTGCTAAACCCAAGAGAGGCAGCAGCAATCTACGCCGCTGCAGTCTTCCTTTAACTCGGGAGGGACAAATAAGGGACAGGAGGGAGGTATTTAACTTGTTACTAAGACAGGGCTTTTACTGAGCCATGTGCCACACTGTTCTAGGCACTTTCTGCGACCTGATTTTATTTACTCCCCCGGAAGAAGGGCACCTCATGTCCGTTTTCCTGTTGAATAATCTGATGAGCCTGCCCAGGCTCACACAGATCAACAGAGGTCAGGCCAGGTCCACCCCAACTACCTCACCATCAGTTCTGAGCCAACCCCTAGACGCTGGTGACAGCAGACCTGCCACCTCAGAGGCGCAGTGAGTTTGCTGAGAGGACATGCGGTGACGAGGTGGTGCTGTCTGTTTTAGCTGAGAGGTGCGTGAATGAGAGAGTGTAAAGTCTGTACATGGACTGCTCAAAAGTCTGGCGGCTCCTTTCTGAAACAAGGCTGAGCTGGGCTCCCTCGGTCGCTCACTCACCTGGGCCTATCTGTCACTTTCGCTGTTTCTGGAGCCACTTGTGATAGACCACAGTCAATGGCTGGAGAACTGACAGAAGCAGCTGAAGGAGTCTCCACAGGACAACATCCGATGAAGAATAGAGGCCCCTGGGCTGCGGGACCAGGTGTCAAATTCTAGTCCTACGGTCTGCTATCTGTGTGACCTTGGGCAAGGTCATCTGTCTCTAAGCTTCGATTTTTCTCATTTCTAAGGTAAGGATAACAAGAGTCTTACCCACAGGAAAGCAGAGAGGACTAGGTCAAAAGATGCCTGTGGGGGGTCAGGACAGCCTCCTCCCACACATAGTAAGTGCTCAAGAAAACGGACTTGTTTCACAGGATGGGGAACCAGGAGGCCTGGGCGTTGAGGCCCACCCACTCCATTAGCCTCTGCAGCTCTCCTGGAGGACTCTAGGTGAGTCACAACCTCTCCAGGCCTTTTCCTTCAGATGGAAAATGAAATGGTGGGACGGGATGATTCCACTCCTGCCCCTAAACTGTAATTCCCCACACAAGCAGCCAAGTCCCCAGTGTCCCCATGATGGGCTCCTTTCTAACACACACATGCACACATACAGACACACCACATGCACATAAGCACACACCGCACACACACGCAGTCTCACACACATGCACACACGCACGCACACACATAGGCAGCATCTCTAGGAATAGCCGGTCACAGCAATATCCGGTCAAGGGAAGCCAAAG